TCACGGCCGCAGGGGAATCCCTGCTCCAGCATTTGGGGCCCCTCCTCCCTTCCTTCTTCTCTGACTTCGGTGCTCACAGAGCTGTTTCTCACATCTTTTCCCATTCCTCACTGCCATGCAGTGTTTTGCCTTTCTTTACAGATGCTTTCCCCAAGGCACCACCATCATGGCTGCGGGGCACAGCTGTGCCTCTGGTGGTTCCATCGGAGCCGGCTGGAACTGGCCGTGTCTGGCATGGGGCAGCCCCGGCCTCTCCTCACAGAGCCCGCCCGCGAGCCCCTGCCACCAGCACCTGGACACATAAACCTAATACGCTAAGATACTGTTGTAATAAAAGACTTAAAAGTTAGTTTAAATCATTTTAAGAAGAGATACTGTAAAAATTTTGTGTAGTCAATATGTATTTTTTTGGCAACTTGTTAAAATCTTTTGTTATTGGCTAAATTGCAATGGTTCTCAAGCTCTTCATCAGAATATTTCAGTTACCCAACAGTTTTACAATGTTAGCAGACACTGAGATAGGGAAATTGTTCCATCTGTCAGCAAGTCCAAGAAGGTAAATCGCTAAGAGGCTAATGCTCCAATTGAAGTTCGAGGAAGAGCTTTTAAAGAGGAGTAATATGATTTGTTTAGTCTCTTTCTACAGTATTTAGATCAAAGATAAATCTCCATTTTCTTTTATATATGCAGGTCGTTATTCGACGGCTTCCTCCTTGTCTAACTAAGGAGCAACTGGAGGAACAGCTACATCCTCTACCTGCCCATGATTATTTTGAGTTTTGCACTGCTGATCCCAGGTGAGGATGAGCTGTTTGTGTAGGTTTTCAGGTGCTTAAAACCTAGTTAAGGTATTTTGGACATATCAAAGCACATAATTTTTCCCTTTTTGTTAGTTTTGTTAGGTTACTTAAAATATTTCTGAAAAGTTGGATACATATGCAGAGACAATGCATTTGTGCCCTTTTCTTTTACACCAGTGATTTTAAAACAGAAAATTTTTGTATATTAATAGGGCATAATTTGGTTTGAAACCCTGATGTTTCTTTTAACCTTCATTGGTAAAATGCAGCAGACTGTTTTATTGGCTGTGAGAAAGAGTCAACCTAGGGCATATACCACAGAAGTTTTTTCATGAGTGCCATCTGAGCTTAGTTTCTTTGTTTGCTTATGTGTTTTTGTATTTATTTCATACAATTTTTCAAATAATCCAGTTTTATTTTTCTCTCATTCAAAACAAAAAAAAAGGAAATAGTGATTGATTTAAAATAAACTAGAATTGTTAGTATATTTATATAATCAGTATCACAGTGGTAAAATATGATTCCCTTTCCGGGAGAGAAGGAACTTGACCATTAAAATAAACAAAATACCCTGTATGCTACATCTGCATGTGTTCTGAAAAACTAAAGTACAAGATCCATCTTGCCTGCCTCAAACTATCTTAGTGTGCAATAAATCATCCTCCACAGGCACCAGATTCTTTCCATTGACTACAGAGAAATCCTGGATGTTTATTGCTGAACAACTTTTAAAGTTAGGGGTGACCGTGGGGTCAGAGCAGATAGCCTTTCCTTCGTAGGGAATTGTTTGTGGCAAACTAGACTTGGAATGGTCTAGTTCCTGGGCTGATTTTATTTGAAAGAATGCTGCCACTTCTTGCCACCACTGTGTTATTAGATAGTTAACTCTGATTATATAGGTTCTCTCAGGGCTAATTCCACAATCGGAAAAGAACAAATGTCTGTTTAGCAAAACTTTATGGCAGTTGCCTGACCTAGGTAGTTACACGTATGTGCAGCAACTAAATTGTAGGTGCTTCAGCTTTTCTGGTAGAACCACAAAGGATGTGAAGTTAGGAAAGAGGAGTATTTAGTCTGAAAGTCTTTGTAGTTACTTACATTTCTCTTCTGAACCTTGTCATCCGTATTTCCAAATGGGTCTCTTTAAGGCTTCTGTCCCAGCTGTTCATTTGATAAGGGGAAAATATCAAAGGCAAACAAAAAATTCTCTGAAGAAGAGTGTCTCTGTCTGCAGTGTGTTTAGCTGCACAAATGCCAGGAAACAGTTAAAAAAACTGCAATTTTAATTTTCCAGAACAATTGTTGACATAAGAATTTAGGGAGTCGGCCATCTTAGAAAAGAGAAGGCACTGACAACAGTTGTACATATAAAGTTTCATTTTTCTCTCTACTTTTATGTGATGAAATTTGGAGTACTCAAAAATCTTGCTGTCCACTCATTAATTGCATCTCCATGTCAGGTTACTGATGAAAGATATTGTGGGTTTTCTCTCATGCTGTATTATTCATCATGTACTTTCTTATAGCTAGGGACAGAACATAGATATTTTTATATATACACATATATATCTTTATATATATGTGTATATATAAAAAGTTTGTTAGATGGCATATATGACACAGTAGCTCATTCTGGTAGAGGGTTGAGGACATGCTTAAAACACCTTAAAAATTGCCTTGAAGAGCAGATCTTGGCAATTAAAAATAACAAAAAGTGTGAAGAAAATAAAGCTGTATTTCTTATATTGTTTTCCTACTAGACTTCAAGATGCAGCAAGCAAAGAATACACATTTTTAAACTTTTTTTTGAACTTGAGATCTCTGATATGTGTTACTTGGATTGTCAGTTTCCTTGAGTCCTGCGTATAAGCCCTGTAATAAAATTATGATCTGGGAGAAAAATGTTATCTTCCTCCTGAGTTTCGGATTCATGCTCTCTTCTGCCTTCTTAAATTTAAACTCTCTAGAAAAAAGTGTTTTCATAGAAGTTTGAATTTTTCAGCATGAACTGTTTCATATTCACTTTTTTTTTGCTTCATTTTGCTTATTAAAAATTATGCTTTCGTACAAAAGATGTGTTTTTTCAGAATGGGTTTATCTTTACAGGGTTTGTATGGCTGCAACTTTCTTTCAGCAAACTACACAGTTTAAATGGGCATTTAGCTGCAGTTATGCAGAGTACTGGCTTGACTGATTATTTGTTCTTTGACTGGCCCAGGATCACCTTGCACCCTTTGCACCCTTTGTTTGAATGCTGACACATACCCATGTACATCGTTTATGATTTAACTCTTTACATGTTCATACACTCTAGAATATACAGTGAACTTTCAGAAATTGGTAAGTTAAAGACAATTGTAAGTTAGAGTGAGTCTTAATCTCCTCTTATCCAGCAGCAAACTATTTTCTGAGCACAGAGCATTGTGTTGCAGTAATCTCATAGAATCATAGAATCATTAAGGTTGGAAGAGACCTCTAAGATCATCGAGTCCAACCGTCAACCCAACACCACCATGCCCACTAAACCATGTCCCTAAGCGCCTCATCTACACGTCTTTTAAATACCTCCAGGGATGGTGACTCAACCCCTTCCCTGGGCAGCCTGTTCCAATGTTTAACCACTCTTTCAGTAAAGAAATTTTTCCTCACGTCCAATCTAAACCTCCCCTGGCACAACTTGAGGCCATTTCCTCTCGTCCTATCGCTTGTTACTTGGGAGAAGAGACCGACACCCACCTTGCTACAACCTCCTTTCAGGTAGTTGTAGAGAGCGATGAGGTCTCCCCTCAGCCTCCTTTTCTCCAGGCTAAACAACCCCAGTTCCCTCAGCCGCTCCTCATAAGACTTGTTCTCCAGACCCCTCACCAGCCTCGTTGCCCTTCTCTGGACACGCTCCAGCACCTCGACATCCTTCTTGTAGTGAGGGGCCCAAAACTGAACACAGTATTCGAGGTGCGGCCTCACCAGTGCCGAGTACAGGGGCACTATCACTTCCCTACTCCTGCTGGCCACACTATTTCTGATACAGGCCAGGATGCCGTTGGCCTTCTTGGCCGCCTGGGCACACTGCCGGCTCATGTTCAGCCGGCTGTCGACCAACACCCCCAGGTCCTTTTCCGCCAGGCAGCTTTCCAGCCACTCTTCCCCAAGCCTGTAGCGCTGCATGGGGTTGTTGTGGCCGAAGTGCAGGACCCGGCACTTGGCCTTGTTGAATCTCATGCAGTTGGCCTCGGCCCATCGATCCAGCCTGTCCAGGTCCCTCTGCAGAGCCTTCCTACCCTCCAGCAGATCAACACTCCCACCCAACTTGGTGTTGTCTGCAAACTTACTGAGGGTGCACTCGATCCCTTCGTCCAGATCATTGATAAAGATATTGAACAAGACTGGCCCCAATACTGAGCCCTGGGGAACACCGCTCGTGACCGGCCGCCAACTGGATTGAACTCCATTCATCTGTCATGTTATGGACGGTTCACAACATTTCAGAAAACTCTGTGGATGTGTCTTCACGCCACTCCAGCTAACAGGAGGAGCCACAGGACAGGGTGGGCATGTTCTTTCTACAGTGCCCTCTGTCTTTCACTGATTAGCTTTTTTCTAGATCCTGTACTGTGTGCACAGTGGCAACCAATCCAGAGAATTCAGTGATAATAAAACATGGGAAGATTAAAAGCAAATTTCATGTTACCTAACAAGAGAATGATTTGGAGAAGCTACTCAGTGAAGAGGATCTGTTTGTTGGAAAGAGGAAGGGGCATACAAATGTTTTCATGCAGAAGCAGACAAATTTGCCTTAAGAGCTGTAACATCTCAGTTTAAGCGCATCCTGTGTAACTCTAGATATCAGGAGTTTCTAAGAGCTCATTCAGATTTCTGTGGAGTACAGACTTTTTCTTTTACACAACACTGTTAAACCGTAGAACTCCTTGTCAGAAATTGATGCCAGAAATGATGGAGGTTGAAAGTGGTTCAGGAGCAGTTAGACAAATACTTATCTAGACAAATACTTATCTATGAAAACCTATTAAACACAAGGATAAAAGTTCTGCATTACGAAGTGCCTAGGCTGCAAGTAGCTGAAATAATATACTAGGTGAAGTGTCAGTGTGTAGTTTCCCCTTTTTGATAAACTTCCTCTAAGCATCCTCTACTAGTTGCTGTCGGAAAGAGGACTAGAGAGGTCTGACTGTAGTGGCTTCTACATACTTATTTCCAAGGTCATCTCACCCTAGAGGACAAAACAAACAAGATATGCATATCAACTCCCAGTTTCTCTTTTTTTGCAGTCCAAAGATTATCTTTAAATTTACAATGTCATCTTACAGGCAAGCTATAAAGCTTTTAAAAATTTCATTTGATTAAGTAATGTCATTAATGTATAACACTTTTTCAGTTACATCCATGTCAGTAAAATCATTTCAGAAAGCGACTGTTGCATTGTGTTTCGTTCATTTTTTCAGATTCATCTGATTCACTGCATGACATTTATTCTCTGTTGTACATTGACATCAAAATACAAACAAAACACTGTTTCTGTGACTGATTCTGTGGCTTTTAGGGATGTTTGTTGGATAGACACACTATCTATAGCTAATAAAGACTCTGCCTTCCTGACAGTCTGTTTTGTTCTCAGACTCCAAATATTAACTATTTTTTCCAGATACTCTTTTTTGTTTGCATGTAAATGTTTCTGAGTCTTCTAAAACTTGAGTCAAGTGATTGAACTCTGGCCCTGCAGTGTTTGGGTCATCCCTCAGGACTGGCACTGAATGCTGAGTGCTAGGACTTGTTAATAGTGTTGTGAGGTTATAGAAGTAGAGAGATCTGAACAGGAGCTTTGTTTATGTGAAAGCCAGTCAAATAGTCGATGCCATGCCATATATCACAGAGAGTGATAAAGCTTCTTGCAAACAGCACTCCTCCTTTTCCCTCCATAACCTCTTCCTAACATTTTGCTCAGGGTTATTGTAGGCAAATAGCATTAACGCTGTAGGATGGTGGTATGCACCCAGGAACTGCAGCTCTGAAGGGGCAGCACCTTTAGAGCTTCAAGGGAACTGCCACTACTGTGTTCTGGATGGAATGAGTGACAGTCTGTCATCACAACTCCATGGTGTTTCTGCTTCTCCACTGCCAGGCAAATTGTGCTCATTTATATCTGTAAAAAGGGAAGGCTAAGTTAATTGAAAATTACGCCAGTTCCATCCACTATGTGAATGACCACAGAAGGTGAGAGACAAGAGGATGAAGACCAGTGGATTTTAGCTTGACATGACAATGTAGGTGATGAGTTATCCGTTTGATCAGAAATTACTATGTAGTATATGAATGGATGGAGGAGTTTATTTAACACTCCAAAATTTAGATTTAGAGATCTATATATTTACATTTATATACATGTAAGTATATATGTTTTTTATATATATATACACACACCGTGACTGATAAGTTGGTAAGTATTTTTACTAAGATGTGATGGCTGTTTTTATAGTTTACATGTTGCTGTTTATATTGTAGATAGCTATTTAAAATTGCTTTCCTTTATACCAATCTTTTTACACAATCGTGTTAAAAGATACTTTGTAGAAGTAGTACACTATTAGAATGTGCTTGTTACTACAATTCCTATAAAAATAAGGGTTTAAAGAGATGATAGCCTAAGTATTATAGAAATACATGTAACCTACAAGACTGAATACTCTTGAATGCAGAGCAGAAAGCAAAGAAACTGTGTGTTGTACTGAAGAAATGTGTATAGTCAGACTCATCTGGGTTATTTCCATAGAGATTACTCTAAGTGATATCCCAGAGATGCCAACATCATGTGCAGTGCATCTGTCCAAAACATGATAAGGATGGAAAGCAGCATTATAGACAGCAGACATATGGCAAAATGGAACCAGCTGTCTGATTATAAAACTAACCAAGCAACCTCAAAACTGAATTTCAAATCCCAAATGAAATCTATGCCGGTAAATACTTGAAAAAAGGAGGAGGCACACCGAGTCCAGTGGCCCTTCTGTAGGACTCAGCTGGAAGGCAAAATCCTGAAAAGCAAAAGCTGTATTTTATCCAATAACTGCTGAATATAAAGTGCAAAAGTAGAGCAGGACTGTTTCTTCCTAGGAGAGGGTATTAGCCACGGAGTCCCTGTGGCCCTGTGAAGCCCCGTGAAGTCTTTGCTGCACTGTCACGGTGGTGGGTTTTCAGCGGATAGGTGAAGAGGGAATCCAGGGTGGGTGGAGGTATGGGAGCTGCAGTTGGAAGTCAGGTGTCTGAAACCCAGAGTAAGAGACAGTATTTCATATGCAGGCCAGTGCTAAGCATTTCCGATTTGCTACATTTAGTTAGCTTCCCATTCAAAGAGTGAATTTTATGCGGGTTTTTTTAGGCACACTGGACACTTTGCTGGGTAAAAAGCCTAAGGCAGGGGTCTTAAACACTCAGTGATCAGGCTTTTATACAGTAAGCATTCTGACATCTAACTTGCTCATATGTTTCTCATATGAGAACCAACTCTTCATCTGTAGAAGTGGCTCCATCAGAGAAGGAGCCTGTAGTTGCTAAGTGTTGTCATAGCTGTGTTTCTACAACTTTCTACCCTGATACATAGCAACAATAGTGGACAGACAACCCTATTTTATTGTGCTACTGTGCCCATCAATGTCCTACTGTGCACAAGCGTGCTTTTATATTTTTGTATATTTCTGCTGATGTGAATGAAGTTCTTGAAGATGTTAATAATGTATAGCAACAACATTGGATCTGTTATTTGCAAGGTAAATTCTAAATCTCTGCTTTCCAGAGTCCCGTTTATACATTTCAGACTCATTTTTTTCTTACTAATAAATGCTCAATAACCATACCAAATTTTCTCTGTTTTGAAAGATTCTGATAGGCCTAAGCTGAAAATGTTAGAAAAATATTGTGTTGTGTACCGGGAAAAGATTGTGTTGCCAAAGCAGATGAAACAGATGGCATTGATGTACAAGCTAAAGGAAACAAGGAAGTAATAACTCTTCGTATTTTCAGTTCTGTTTCATGATGGTTTGTGCCCAACCATAAGGTTCTGGTACTGCAGAAAAAATAGAAAATCCAATCATGAAGCTGTTTGCTGTGCACTGAGACAGAGAAGTGCCGCAATAATGTAGTGGCTGGGACACTTCTCTTGAGTCCCAGTCTTTGATCTACAGAAAGTTTTAGTATTTTACAAAAACTGAAGATGGATAAAACACTGAAATAGTTGTTTAGACTAGGAACTGAAACTCAGTTTCTCAATCTCAGATAATAATAACTGGGCTGAAAAGTAATGCTCGCTCAAGATTCCTGCTTTTTGTCTTGTGAATCTTCAGCACTTCAAGTGTATAATCATACCAATTTCTAATATCAGGCCTCATTTAATTTAAACATCAAAGAACATGAAACAGACGAATAGTCCTGTTAACGTGACAAAGAAGGAAGTTTATGTCTTCCTGGGAGCCACCAGTTATCAAAGAGACTTCTTCACTGTTCCAGCCGTTAGGCAGCACAGAGACATTCCTTCCAGCACAGCTATAGATTGCCACAATAAAATTTCCTCTTTTACGTATACTAGTAGGCCTTTTTTAAAGATTTTTTTTTTTTAACTGTATGTAATTATGAAAAGTGTTAACATTTCATCTTTTTGGATTTTTTGCTTTGAAACCTATGAGAAGGAAGCTGGCCTGTTTTCTCTGTGGTAACTCCACAGCCACCCTCAAGATACCTCGTGTTGCGTGTTGCAGACTGGAGGTTTGCACATCTGATCAGAGGACTCTGCAGGGTTTGCAGAACCCCAGGACAAAACACAAGCCACGTGCCACCATGCTCATTTGGTCAAGCTGTCTAGAGGTTGCTTGCAAGCGGTCCATAGCTGTGTGGCATCTGTGTAGGCAGTGGCAGATGAGGGAGCATGCCATGCCTGTAGTGTCTTTCAGCACTGCTTTGTGTCAGCAGCGTAGCCCTAGCCGTGCCCTAGCGGGCGTTCTTGTGGTTGCCTGCTTCCGGTTCGCTCAATGCTATTACCGTCCTAGAATATCAAAATATAGTGAGTACATATGGATGAAATAGCTCTTCCTTCGAATTAGGAGGTTTGTCCTCTGCATGCTGTAGAAACACTCCACAGCTGGTATTTGCAAAACATCTAAATGAAAAAAGCCCTCCAGTTTTTTGTTAAACATTTGTCCTGGCTACAATATCAAACACAAATTTGGTGGGTTTACAAAATCATTGGTTGGTAACTGACAGCATTGTTCTTTATGGTCACCTTCTAACACCCAAAGTGGAATCCATATGGATGCACATTTGAAAAAGAAAAGATTACTTGGTTTATAGTAACTGTATTGCTTTGAGCTGCCACCTGTGTGGATCCTGTGATCCAACCTATATTTTTGCTCTTTCTCACTCATTGTGAAATCCGATTCTGAAATAGCTATGGGATTGAAATATGGTTGCAACTGTGTGTGTTTATTGTCTCCTGCTGCTGATGGTGAGTTTGTCTGAAGACAGGCCATGTGTGGCAATAGTATTACGAACACGGGTATTTTAAAGTTATGGGCTTGTGTTCAGATATGTTCCAAAACCTGGCATAATACATAGGCATCATTGAAGGCAGTTTAAGACAAACTGTTTTACATCACAGTTGCAGGGGTTTAAAGCATGTACATGCCATGACTCACAGTAACTTAGCTGATGGGTGGTAATTCATTAAATTACCTCCGTTTCATTGTGGTTAGTGGTATGCCAACCTTGAGGTTTTTATCAGGCACATTAAACATTAACCCTTGGAGTGGGATCTATGCCAATAAATTCTTGAAGAATCAGAATTATTTTAGGTAAGTACCTGTTCTTTCTTTTGCTAGAAATGCTTTGGATTTTCACGGTAATTGTTCTTCACAACTAGACATTGCATATATGTTCATACACATGTATGTAAGATGGAGTTTATTTATTTGTATATAACTCAGTGGATTCATCTTGCCAATTATTAGATTATTTAATCTTTCTTAGAGGTAGAAATGTCTTTAAATACAGTGACAGCTTGGCAACTGCCCTTTCACTGGGAGCTTTTACTTTCCTTCTCCTGCTTCAGCGACAGAAGACTTAGCATGTCCAAGAAGTTGCCCAAAAACACTGCTGTTACTCATATCTCTTAAATCATGAAATATTAGACTTACAGCTTTGATCCTGCACAATGGAAGCATATGCTCTACAATTTAGGGGGACAAAACAAACTAGAAATGTTTGTCTTGGCTCAGAATAAATTTCACAGTTGTATCTAGGAAGTCAGTTGTTCAGTTCCTTTTTGTCATATGTGTAATTAGATATGTATATGTAAAGACTTCGATAGGCATGTTTAAGGTAGCCATTTCGCAAAGAAGATGAGAATTGCAGTGTGATCCTTTTGGTTTTACTTTTTTACTAGTCCTGAACAGAATAGTAAATAACAGAAAACAAATTGTTTCTTGTTGCAGCCTTTATCCTCATCTCTACTCAAGAGCATACATTAACTTTAGAAATCCTGAGGACATCCTTCTTTTTAGAGATCGCTTTGATGGCTATGTCTTCATTGATAATAAAGGTTGGACTATTTGTAAGATATTAAATGTGTATGTATACATATACCGTTTTAGAACATTAATTTATTTCCTTTTTGCTAATTATGACAGGTTTTTTTCCTCAATATACAGATGATTACGTAAAAATATATTAAAATCTATCACTTAAAAGATAATGAAGTGCAAAACATATTTGTCCATGCAGTCTTGCTTGTCTATGTGGTGTGCATGCTTTACCTGCATTCTTGTACCTTAAGCAGTACACTATCAAGATCCTATTAAGATAATTATCTTATGCAAGCTTCACAATTCATCACAACAGCAACTGAACACATTGCAAGCATGAATCATTACATCTCCAGTGTGTTTCTGTGAGATAAAGTTGTGCCACTTACTCCCATTTTGAAAAAGCAAGACGAAAACTTGACTTCATCATTTTGGTTGCCCACTTAGAGATACGTGCAGCTTGACTTCTTAGAGCGTTTGCAGACATCTGGAGTTGAGTTCCAAGAAGAAGAGCGACAAAATTGGTTGCCATCTTCAAAATGTTCAGTCTGCAAAAGTTTGCCCAACAGTAAAGAAAAACTCTGTAATGTAGGTGTGGGTAAATCCAGGTCTCCTGCAGTAGCATGAAACTGCCACAGCCAAGAAATGGTGCTTTCCCTTTAGCAGATCCTTCCTCATTCACTCATACCTTCTGGAAAAAATTGCATAGGTTGTATAAAACAGACATAGATATGTGGGTTTTTTGTATAGACATTGTCTATTCTGTGCACTCGATGTTGTGGAGGTCCTGCAAAAAGCAATCCTGTCCACTCTTACTGGAGAGTTGATCTCTAAAGAAGCTATCTGTCAAACTAACTAATTCCTCTTCAGCATTTCCTACCTGAGATACTTCGTAGCCTTCTAACTTAATCAGGTTTGGATGGATTTTCCTAGAGATGGAGAACAACACATTCCTTGCAGTGTGTGATTCCCAGATTTCAAATTCTGGGTGTTTTGATGAAAAACTAGAAAGAAACTATTTTTATGATTCTGCCAAGACTTCACTTTGTCTAAATTAAGCACATTCTTCAGTGTTATGCTGGACTGAAGCCAGAATATTCTGTACATTGCAAAACTGAGCTTGGACCCAGCTGGCCAGTTTGGCATGATTGTTTGTGCAAATCAAGAGCACAAGTTTTGATTGAAGGTGCCCTCTGGTCAGGCTTGTGGCAGCATTGCATTTATGAGGCTAAAATTAAAACAAGGATTACCAGGTTCAATAAGGTTAACAAACGTTCTAGCAGATTTAAGCCAAGTTTTCAGTGGGCTTGAGCGAAGTGTGATCTTGAACCTGCTGCAAGTGGAAACCAGGCGAAATTCAAGAACTACACACAGTTCTGACTCCAGTCCGAAGAAGAATCCAGTATTTAAGGCAGAATTCAAAACAAAGAATCCATGCCAGTAAACACAGGCAAGAAGTTGCGTAGTCTATCATAAACAGAAAAAAAAGAAGTTTCACACAATTCTACACTCTTGAGTTTTACAGTTTTTGTTCTGAAAGAAGGTGGTATGTTTTATTATTGCATATTACCCAGCATTTACTTATTTTTTAAGCTTTTTGGCAACAAAACTTTACAGAAGCAGTTCCATTGTTTCAGATTTATTTCCCAGTAGTACTTATCACTTGTCAGGCTGAGATTTTATGTAAATTTTTCTAATCAATGAATATCTGTGAAGAATTAAAAGGGAATTATAAATGATAATGCAAGAATTGTATTGTGCAACAGTAGTCATCTTCATCTTGACAGTCTTTGTTAGCATGTCCAAAAATATTTAATGTTTATGTATATCATTAAAAGACAAATGTATTTTGTTTTGAATCTAAAATACTGCTACATGTAATTTTTCAATAAAAGTTTCAGATGGGATTGTAGAAACATTCACCTTTGATTTCAAGTACGATTGCCCAACACAAGTTTCAAGAGTTTTGAAAATCTTACTTGAATATAAGGAATGTTTCTCCCCCCTCAAAAAATTAAGCACTGATCTCTTTTAAGGTTTGGAGTATCCTGCAGTGGTTGAATTTGCTCCATTCCAGAAGATTTCAAAAAAGAAGCTGAAGAAGAAAGATGCCAAAGCCGGGAGCATTGAAGACGGTAAACATATTTTCTTGGTGTCACAGTGGAAAATAGATTCCATTTCTGTCATGCATTGCAAAGTATTAACATAATCCAAAAATTTTTCTTCACAGATCCAGAATATAGGAAATTTTTAGAGAGTTACTGTGCTGATGAAGAGAAAATCTGTGCCAATCCTGAGATTCTTTTGGGAGAGATTGAGGCCAAAACAAGGGAACTCATTGGTCTGTTTTCTTGATTTTTCTTATTATTGAGAATATTAATCTTATTTTTATATCTTGGTGGTATTACCTGCAAGAGCTGACCTGTTCAGTCTAACAGAGATTGAGATTATCGCAGTTAAATTTTTGTTATCCAGCCAAGTAGTGACAGGAAATGCCCCACCTATTCTTTTAAGTCTCTCTGCATGGAATCACGTGACTTCACTGGAAGTTTTGCATGCACAGTGGCTTCAGAAATGGGTCCTTAATACTTCTGAATACTTACAGATGTATTAAAAGGTGGAAGATTTATTTTTAAAAGATAAAATAGCTGAATACTTAACGATTGATCCCTGATATTAGATGCTTTCATTGAAAAACGTGAAATCATCTCTCCTTGTTCTCACGGTCAAGATTCTGCAAAAGCTTTGAAAGTAAGGCAACACCTTGTTTTCTGTATGCATGCAGCATGACTTTCACAGTCTCGGGTGGGAATCTTTAGTAAGATCAACACTGAAATCTTCAATGCCAGTATGCAGCTTTCAGGATGACATGGAATATTGATGTGCTGTATCTCCAAGTGACAG